CTCACTCAGGGACTCACAGACGGGATTCTCCAACACAAACTGCTTGCAAAGATGCTGCAGTTTTGTACAGGCAGCCAAAGGGAAGGTCTGTTTCTAGGATGCTGACTGGCCTGGCAGCCAAGCAGTGTCAAGTTAAATGTCGTTTGGGACCATTCAATTGTGTTAACCCTCTGAGTGGACACAGATGCTACAAAAATGAAAAAAGCAAGGAAAAATAGAAAACCCTCCTTCAGTTCAGTCGATGAGTCTTGTCCGACTCTTTGTGACCCTATGGACTGCAGCATACCAGGCTTCCATCACCAACTCTTGGGGCTTACTCAAACTCATGTCCATTGAGTCAGTGATGCCATCCAACCATCTCATCCTCTGTCGTCCCCTTCTCCTCCTGCCTTCAATCTTTCCTAGCATCAGGGTCTTTTCCAATGAGTCAGTTCTNCAGGCTTCCATCACCAACTCTTGGGGCTTACTCAAACTCATGTCCATTGAGTCAGTGATGCCATCCAACCATCTCATCCTCTGTCGTCCCCTTCTCCTCCTGCCTTCAATCTTTCCTAGCATCAGGGTCTTTTCCAATGAGTCAGTTCTTCACATCAGGTGGCCAAAGTATTGGCGCTTCAGCTTCAGCATCAGTCTTTCCAATGAATATTCAGGACTGATCTCCTTTAGGATGGACTGATTGGATCTCCTTGCTGTCCAAGGGACTCTTAAGAGTCTTATCCAACACCACAATTCAAAAGCATTAATTCTTTGGCGCTCATCTTTCTTTATGGTCCAACTCTCACATCCATACATGACTACTGGAAAAACCACAGCTTTGACTAGATGAATCTTTGTCAGCAAAGTATGATACCTCAGGGACATTTTACATGGGAAAATATCATTAATGCAACTTAGGGATAGGCCCCAATCATAGTCTAAAATTTAATAATCTTAAGAAGAATGACTTTCTTAATGAAGTTAGTTAATTACTCCTGTGGGTTTTCATGAGTCAGATATAGAACATGGAGTTGTCAGGCAGCACGTCAGCGAATACATCCTAATCATGTCTGGGTACACAGAGGTTTCACGCAGTCCCATTAGGCCATGGTGCCATGCTACAGAGCAGATGGTTTAGCAAAAGGCCACTTGGGTATAAGCTGGAAATCATATTAGTAAAGATCTGTAAGGACATGACTTCCATCTCTTCTCAGCCCTGATTTAACTTCTGAACAAGGCTAGACAATAAGCTCTGGGAGAATGGCTCTGTGCAGAATGGACACCATCTCTGCCCCCGCGGGCCTCTAGATCAGTGGTCACAGACAGCAGGTAATGACTGGGAGGGCCTGGGTTACAGGTTCCCCATGAGGAGTGGTTTCTGCTGGACTCTTTTCAGCTACAACCGACAAGCACTGAAAATACACTCTCTCTGCATTCACTCAGGCAGCTTCAGAGAAGCAGTTCTCAGTCAGGGTGATTCTGCCCCCACAGTATGTTGACATAGTCTAAGAAACACTGTTGTGCTACTGGCATCATATGGGCAGAGGCCAGGGATGCTGTGAACACCCTACAACCCAGAGGGCAGCTCCCACAATAAAGAACTGTCCAACCCAAAATGGCAATAGAGCCACAACTGAGAAACCCTGCTTCCAATGAAAACTGTGACAAAAATGTGTAACTCCATCTTTATGACTATATATGATCTACTAAAAAGCAGAGACATTACTTTGCCAAAAAAGGTCTGCCTAGTCAAAGCTGTGGTTTTTCCAGTAGTCATGTATGGATGTGAGAGTTGGATTATAAAAAAAGATGAGTGCCAAAGAACTGATGCTTTTGAACTGTGGTGTTGGAGAAGATTCTTGAGAGTCCCTTGGAGAGCAAGGAGATCCAATCAGTCTATCCTAAAGCAAATCAGTCCTGAATATTCACTGGAAGGACTGATGCTGAAGCTGAAACTCCAATACTTTGGCCACCTGATACAAAGAGCTGACTCATTTGAAAAGACTCTGCTGCTAGGAAAGATTGAAGGCAGGAGGAGAAGGGGACAACAGAGGATGAGATGGTTGGATGGCATCATCAACTAAATGGACATGAGTTTGAGTAAGCTCAGGTAGTTGGTGATGGACAGGGAGGCCTGGTGCACTGCAGTCCATAGGGTCACAAAGAGTCGGACACAACTGAGTGACTGAACTGAACTGCACTGAAATGATGATCTACCGAAGCCTCACGACACAGCAAACTCTCAGGAAGGGTTAGGCAGTGTGTTCCGTGGCCATATCTGTTCACCGTACACCATTTCATACACCAGCTACTCCTGGAGGAAAACTGTAGGCAGCACTGTGATGCAGACTGCAATGTCCCATGTGTCTCCTCACTCCCCTTTCGGATTACCTCTTGTTCTTTTCTGTGGGTGAGTCCAGACCCAGAGAGCCCAGCTGGGCCACCCCCAGGGCTGGCCCATGGATTGCACTTCAGACTCAGGCTCTATAAACCATATTTCAGTTTGACCTCTTACTGGCTTGTGAGCTTGGGCACAGACAGATTAACTTTGGGATGCACCCCCTTCAACTTTAAGATGAGGAACATATTAGTATGCACCTCGTAAGGTTCTGATGAGCCTCTGTGAGCAGACCCTACTTGGTGTCTGGCCCAGAGGAGGAAACCCGTGAAAGTCTAGTTTATTAATGTGCTGCTGCTCCTCTATTTGTCATCATTACTTTCCTATCATCATTCCTTCCTGGCGCAAAAAGATGCTCAGCTGGAAACCAGTCAGAAAAGGAAAAAGTAATTTGATTCATTCTAAAGTCTGAGTAACCTATTGTATCCGAAACTTCCCCTACCCAGGGAGACTGACATTTTGGGACAGAACAAAGGCAAAACCAAAGGAATCCATCTTTTTTGATGGACTTTCAAGTTCTCATGGCAAGAAGGGGAAATATTTTTAAAAGGGGAGGTTGTCATTTTTTCCTTCAATCAAGCTGCCTCTGGCTGCATTTGAAGCCTCTCTATGTATGAATCTGAAGCTTCTGCAATCTTTCAAAGATCCTGTGAGGTAAACAGGATGGCCAAATCATGCACGAGCACCTACCATGTCATCTGTCTTGTGTGAGAGACACTTTGCACTTGGTTTGAGCCGACTGGCAGCCCCCACCTGCCTGACGGACATGAACGCCTTTCTCCCTTGTTGCTCTGGGGGCCCCAGGGTGAGGCTGCCCCATACTGAGGCCAGCCCTGCCCCCTCCTTTCTCACTGTCTGGCAGCTGCCTCGGTGTCCCCCTCTGTATTTTCCTGCTGTCTCCTTTGGACCCTCTCCTGCGTCTGCCACGTGCCCTCGCTCCCTGCCTGCGCTGCCTGGTCTGACTCCAGGGCTCGGGCCCCACTCTCTCTCTAGCCAGTGGCCAGTGCACGTCCCTCGTCACACCTGCTCCTGGCACAGGCCGTGTGGGTGCTTCTAAGGCAGAACTGCTCAGGCACTGGGCTGCTTTCCTAGGTTTGCTATAACCAATCATCGCAAACTGGGGGGCTTCAAACCTGGGACTGTGTTCCCTCACAGCCTGAGAGACTAGAAGTCTAACATCAAGGTGTCCACAGGGCGATGCTCTTTCTGAAGACTCAAGGGGAAGCTCTTGCCTTTCCTCTTCCTCGCTTCTAGAAGTTGCAGGCACTTCTTGGCGTTCCTTGTCTTGTAAACACATCCCTCCGGTTTCTGCCTCCCTCATCCCACGGGCGTTCCCCTCTGGGTGTCCTCTGTGTACACATGGCCTTCCACGCTGTGTCTGTGTCCAAACTTCTCTCTTCTTAGAAGGCTATCAGCCAGGGGAGCAGGGCTCACCCTAATCCAGGATGACCTTATCTTAGCTTGATCACGCCTGCATAGACCCAACTTCCAAATAAGGTCCCATTCCAAGGTTCTGGGTAGCATGGATCTTGAAATCTGTACTCAATCAGTACAAACCTCTAGGAACACAGCTTCTGCTGTGGAGGCCTCTGCTTTCCAAAGTACAAGGCACGCCTTCCCACCTGGGTTCAGGCACCACTTTGCTCCATGATCCCCCCACCCCCTCTCACACTCAGGCCTGGGGGTGCGGTCGGCACAGCCCCCCAGCCCTTCCTCACTTCCAACTCTCCTACCGAAGCCCCTCTCCCTCACTGCAACCAGGCTTCACTGGCTTCCTTCACTCTCGAGTCTTTCAAATGAGACTGGGTATGCAGGAACCTCCAGTACGGAGATGCTTTCAAGGAATCCAGGGCTTCCGTGCCAACAGGAGGAGGCGTGGGTGCCACGAATGTCATGAAGCAGTGTCCTGAGATTTCCCACTCTACCCAGTGGGTCCCCAGGCCGGTCACACCCCTGGAGGACTCTGTGGGCCAAGCCATTGGCTCCACTCACTCACTCTCTATTATTAGAAGAGGAGATTGAACTTCCCACAAACGGGCACCAGCCCACAGCGGAGGGTGCTGGACCCTGGCAGAGCAGGGGGCTGCGGCTCCGGCTGGGGTGCCCACCGGTCACACAGTCACAGCCAGGATGCCCAACTTCTCTCCACTTGTGCCACTCAGGCCAACAGACGCTGTGGACTCAGTTGGCTTGGGTTCCCCAGCTGATCAGGTGAAACCCATCTCCACACACCGCAATGGGCGCCAAGAGACAAACAAAGCCATTTACACGGAGGTGAGCATGCACAGACAAGCCTACTTTTAAAACTGTTCATGAAACTTATTTGGTTTAAAACGATGTGAAAGAAGGCATTCCAGTGCCCCGTGGAGACTGTCAAGTTCTTCTTCCACGTCGAGGCAGGTGGAATGCGGTCAGAAGGAAGTTAATGAATAAACCTGAACTTCCCAATAAGCAAAGTGGGGTTTCTTTCCCCACCCCCAGAAGTTAAAAAAAGGATGTGAGAATTATGACACTCTTCAGAGTCTGGCAGAGACAAAAAAGTGGCAAGCCACCCTGTGGAGAAAGAAAGTCATATTGGACAGTAATGCAATAGAACATAAATAATGCTCCATCGAGCTCCTCTTACCTCAATCCCTTCTTTGTTTAAGGCATATTCATCAAAATTCAAAATGGCTATCTTAATCGTTCTTGGAGGGGGCAGGACCGTCAGGCCAATATTAATAGCATTGCTCCTCTTGGAGTCCAGGACAATGATCTCCTGCTTTTTTCCATCTGCAGCCGTTTTCTTGTGATAAAATAAGGAGAATCCAAGATTAATGCCTCATCTTCGGTCCTCTATTAAAAGCAAACTCACGACTTATTTAGAGGTGAAAACAAATGGCCCGGGTTCAGCTCAGGGAGGGACTGGCTACCGCTCAGCACTGCAGAGATCAGGGATTAGCCCCGAGAAGCTGCCAAGAGGGGGGCGGCCATGGAACTTCTCGAGTCAGACACATTACAAAATAAAATTGATTTTCCTTCAATTGGGAAAAATGTGATATTTTGCAAGGAAAAAAAGAAGAAGAAGAAGAAACACCCTGTTTTTTTCCATAGAAGCAGTGGAAACAGGATTCAGACCTTTCAGAGTTCCCTTCCTGTGGGCTGCGAGGTGTTGGAATGTGCCTTGGTTGGCCCTGGAGCGTGTGGTGCATGCCCAGAGATGGAGAAAGCTGGTCCACGCGCCAAGGAGATGGGAGCCAGGGGGGAACCCGGCATCGCTGGCAGGTCAGCCCTCTGCATCTCCGGGGCTCCTCTCGGCATTCCGCCCTGACACCTGAGTACTCTCTGCCACATTCATACATCTGGATGCGGCCCGCTGGGTGGGCAAAGAGGAGTAAGGGATGAACTGGCAAAGAGGCCAAGGAGGGGACCATGCCCCCTGCTGTCCCGGGCATCCTCAGGGCAGCCCCTGTGGCCAGCCCAAGGCTGGCACATGGCCAGAAGCCAGGAAGGATGTAAGGTGCTGAGCCAGTGCTCTCCTCTGCCCAGAGCTGTGATGACAAGGTCCCCAACTTTCCCCTTCAGCTCTCAGGAAAGCAAAGGCAGCTGGAAACGGGGACAGGTGGAAGGGGGCCGGTCAGCAAGCTCCCTGTGCTGTGCAGCCTCCCTTGGGGCCCCCAGGCCTGGAGGTTGATGATTCTGATTCATGAAACAAGCCCGGGCTGATGAGGATGGGTGAGACCATGCAGCACGCTGAAGGGTGAGCTCCCTGAGTGAGGGGCCCAGCTTCGGGGGAACAACTCACCTGGTGATGGAGGGGGTGAGGGTCTGGAGAAGCTGTCACGCGAGCTGGACCCTAACGATTGTCTAGGACTAGCCTGGGGCTGGGGGAGCTGATGAGGAGAGGAGAAGGGCCTTTGAATAGTTCCAGGGTACTGCCAGGGATGAAGCTGGAAGTTGCCAGGGCCACATCAGGGGACTCCATGAGTCAGCTGCTCAGAACCCCTCTGCAGGCAGGTCTCAGCCAAGCAGCTGACGCCAGTTGGTCTCCTGCACTGAGGCCTGAGCCTCTCCTCTGAAGAAAGGAACCAGGCTGGGCCTGGTACAGCTGAGGGCTGCTGCGCCACTAGAGGCTGGGAGCTGGCAGGGAGAAACTGGCTGCGGCCCCTTAAGTCCTACTGAGCCCTTCCAGACTCAATTGCTAACATTCTATTTTAGGTCCTTACACATGCATTTGGGAATAAATTACACTTTCTTCATGAAGAAAATAACTGAAAGCATCCCAGCCATTTGGGCGCCTGGTGGCCAGGAGGAACAATTCCTGTGGGTGTGTCATGGGCTTGGAACTGTGGGCTCCTAGGGACATGTGGCATAAATGTACCCCTACTCTGCAGGACAAGCTTGTCTTCTATATGTTTAAGCCAATAAGCTTATCAGAAGCTCCTGAAATGTAGCTGAAATCTACTTTAAAATATTATTTGGGGGTTTCCCTGGTGGTCTGGTGGTTAACAGTCCACCTGCCAATGCAGGAGACATGGGTTCAATCCCTGGTCCAAGAAGATCTCACATGCCACAGAGCAACTAAGCCTGTGAGCCACAGCTACTAAGCCCGTGCTCCAGAGTCTGCAAGCCACAACTACTGAGGCCTGCGCACCCAGAGCTTGTGCTCCGCAACAAGAGAAGTCACCACAATGAGAAGCCCACACACTGCAACTAGACTGTGGTCTCCACTCACAGCAACTAGAGAAAAGCCTGTGTAGCAACAAAGACCTGGCACAGCCAAAAATAAATAAATAAAAATAAAATTATTAAAAAAAATATTACCTTGTTGGAATGCTAAGAAGGCATGAGAAAAGGTTTGACAAAATGCTGAAGAAGGGAATGAAGAGGGATGTGATGACCTGTGTGCCCACCCTGGGGTGGCGGGGTGCCCACTCCTCCAGGCACTGCAGGAGGCCTGCCCAACATCTAGTCCCTCTTCCCTGCTCACCAACAGGGCCTGGATTTCTTTCAGGCTGGTAATATGTTAGTGAAACCAACCACCTCCCTGGATCCCTTGCAGCTAAGGCTGGTAGTTTGGGTTTCTATTTTCCTGATTCAAAAGTGCTGGACCCGAGAGCCATGCCTTTTGCCTTTCCTCCATCTTCCTGCCTAGAGTGTGAACATGAGGCCTGGAGGGGCAGCAGTGAGACATCTCGTGAGTATACGGAATGAAGCTTCATGGATGGCAGCACGGAAGACAGAAGCCTGGGACCTGGCATGGGAGAGGCACCAACCCAGAGCCAGGTTCCAGCACAGGAGGCATTGACAGAAGGGCAAGGATTCCCTAGGAATCATTAGCCCTTAGACCCCCATCCACAGAGCCTGCAGAGATGCCTGAGCAGGCCCAGCCCCACTGCTGCCTTTGTGCAAATGAGAGCAAGATGCCCACCCCGAGGGAGACACAGTCCCACGGCAAATCCTTGAAAGAGAAGGACCGCTCAGATTTCAGCCTGTCCCCCTCAGCCAGTGTCCACCTACAGCAAGCATTCAGGACAGACCCAGGGGGTGGCTCTAAGCCTGACATGTCCTTTTCCTCATTCTCAGCAGAACTCAGTTCACATCAATGGACACCCTCTGCTCTCATAAGTCGAGAAGAAGCCAGCCTCTGGGCATCCTGAGATAATGGGGAAGCTGTTTCTACAGACGACGTGTTTTCAGAGCACGTCCACCCACTTCGAGAAGGAAGGAATAAGAATTAGTCATATCTAAAGCTGAATTATTAACTCTCTGGATCTTATACAAGTGGGTATTTTAAATGCTCTTCTTCATAACTGAAACAGACTCTGCTGGATGCCGCTGACCCCTCAAGTGCCTTGGCAGCCGCTCTGCCCAAGATGAGGGGTGGGTCATGTAAGCTTGCCCAACTGTCTCCTCCCCTCACAACAACTCAGAGTAGCATCTGCAAGAACAAGCCAAAGTGCTCCGTGCCCGGGAGCACATGTTGGTGTCTAGGGATTAGCCGTTATCAATTCTGATCCATTTCAATCCTCCAAGCTCCAGATCAGCAAGAGTGACCTTCACCATGTCCTTCACCTGGTCCTATGTCTGAGCGGCTGTCAGCCATCCTGTTCCATAAAGTCTCTTGGGCCCTGGCCTTCCTTCCCGCTACCTCCATCCCAAGCCTGACCCATGGCGCCTGCCTCCCAGGGCAGCCACCATGGGCTTCCTGCTTCCAACCTCATCTCACCCCCAACCCATCCATCTTAATTCTTGCCAAGAGTCCTTCTCAGAGACTCGCTTTCTTATTGTACTTCTTTGATCAGAGAGTCGGTGACTGTCCATTGTTTGAAATGAGAAAAATGGGAAATTGGTCAATGATGAAAAGAGGAGATAAAGCAGATAAGACATGGTTCCTTGTGAAGGAGGTTAGGAAAGGTTAAATGACCTTCTAAAGGCTTCTGGAAAGGAAGGGCTAAGATGTGATGCAGCAAAGGTGGAACAGGGTTGGGAGGATGCCAGGAGGTGATACTTCTAGGCAGGAGATCAGAAAGTTGATGTTTATTTTACACAAGACCAGACACATCCTGAAAGACAACATACAAACAAGGAAACAAAACCCCCAGACCAGACTTCCCTGGTGTCTCAGTGGTAAAGAATCCATCTGCAGGAGACATGGGTTCGATCCCTGATCCAGGAAGATCCCACATGCCTCAGAGCAACTAAGCCCATGAGCCACACTACGGAGCCCACGCTCTAGAGCCTGCGAGCCGCAACTAGTAAAGCCTGCTCTCCCTAGAGCCCATGCTCCTCGACAAGAGAAGTCGCCGCAGCGAGAAGCCTGTGCCCCACAACTAGAGACAAGCCCGCACGGCATCAAAACCCAGCACAGCCAAAAACAAATAAACGATTGAAAAGAAAACTCCAATAGACTTATGGACATGGGGAGAGGGGAGGAGAGGGTGAGGTGTATGGAGAGTGACGTGGAAACTTACATTACCATATATAAAATAGACAGCCAGTGGGAGTTTGCTGTAGGGCTAGGAAACTCAAACAGGGGCTCTGTATCAGCCTAGAGGGGTGGGGTGGGGAGATGAAAGGGGGGTTCAGGAGGGAGGGGGTATATGTACACCTATGGCTGATTCATGTTGAGGTTTGAGAGAAAACAGCAAAATTGTGTAAAGCAATCATCTTTCAATAAAAATAAATTAATTAAAAAAGGAAAGAAACCTCCAGACCTCTGGAAATATCAATACAGGCCCTACTTGAAGGAAGTGACAACATTTTCTTGAGAGTAATAAAAGAAGATGTGGGCAAACAAGAAACATCATGTTCCTGAATAAGAAGTCTCAGAGATAAAAGGATGTTCATTATCTCGCCTCATAAAATTCATACACAAATAACATATATTTATTACATATGCAGGTAAAGAGCCACCTGCAGTGCACGAGACCTGGGTTCGATCCCTGGGTTGGGAGATCCCCTGCAGGAGGGCACAGCAACCCACTCCAGTATTCTTGCCTGGAGAATCCCATGGACAGAGGGGCCCGCGGGCTACAGTCCATGAGGTCACAGAGAGTCGGACACGACTGAGTGACTAAGCACAGCACAGCACATATATTTAAGATGATGCTAATCCAATTCCAAGAAGATGTTTTTGGAATTTTAAAATATTCTAAAGTTACTATGAAACAATATATGTGTAAAAAGATCCATAAGTAGATATATATATATACATATATATAATATCTACCCAATCAGCCATAAAAACTTATTATAAAACTGATATAATTAATGTGTGGCATTGGCACTAAGCAGCTATACTGA